AGGACCGAGAGAGAGGGTGGCGATTGGCCACGCTTGACTTTGTCATGCGCCACTTCCGGGAGGTTGTGGCCCTTCAGGCCATCAACCGCATGTCCCCACGTGCGCTGGCATTATGTCTCACACCCTCTCTCTTCGGCTCCACAGAAGATGCCGAGACCAACAGTCAGGTATGCATTACCCAACAGCTGCCCTCTTTCACGTCTCTCCATGTAATCCCCTCTTTCTTTACTGGTCATTACCTCATTCTTATGCTATTTCATGTCTGCCACCATCACCATCAATAGGTGCTGGAGCTGCTAATTGAGCACTGGCCCTGGCTGTTACAGTGTCTGCACCGGGGCAGCCAGCCGGTGTCCGCAGAGGGTCTCACCGAACCGCTATCCGATGCCTGTCTTTATGCTTGCCGGTAAGTCTCCAACCGCCCATCTCCTCCTTGCCATAATATCGACTTCATTTATTCTGATATTCACGCTTACTAGGAGACTTGCTTACTTTCTTACCGTGCACTCATTTATAGTCCAATTCATGCAGACATTTTAGCCATGCTATACTTCTTGAGGTTTTTGCAGCTGGCTGCCATGTTGTTGTCCTGAGGACTGAAATACGGCCTCCATGACAGCACAGATATTTTTCATTCTATTCCAAGGCATAGGCTATGGCAATTAATCTAGATTGCTGATCAATCTAACGGGTACACAACCATGGCTTACTGAACACTCCCCTTTCTAGATACCAGCGTCATTCCTTCCTGCAGTCCCTGTGCCTACCACCGACCCTCCCACCGTCGCCGCCGTCGTCTTCAGTCGACGCCTTTTGTGCTGGCGCGTGTACATAGCCTTCGTTGGAATTATCCTTCCCCCTCCCTCGCCCACTTCCCACCCATAATTATTTGTACTATTATAAGCATGATTCTCCCTCGTCCCCATTTTTTAACTTTTGGAGAGTATTATTCATTGCTCTCTTGTTTATTCCATTCCACACAATAGACGCTGTTTCGCTGAGCTTCACTTTCCCTCCTTGTCGCTCGCGCTAACTCGCAGGGTTATATCGCATTTGTTCCGTCCAATCCCCACAGTCGTAATTCGCTTCCCTCTTATTGGAATGATTATCCTTAGTGCCGAATTTTGTAACTTTCCTTCTTCTCATATCCATTCCATTTTACCTAATAAACCTTGTTCGTTTATCCTTCACTCTCTCCATCTCTCATCTTGATTAGTTGGACAATGTCTTATGTTGGTGCTGTGTCTGGTCATTGTCTGCAGACAGGATGTTTATATCAACAGATGTATCTATATCAGGGGGGGGGGGAATTTTGGCAAGTGAGACTTGCGTGACAGTGTGTGTGTGCGAGTCTATGGTTAGTACTGTCACGACGACTGACTGACTGCAGTAGCATCTCAAATAAATATGTGGTTCGGTTCTGGCAAGGATGACACCAGTGGTTTGCATCCACTACAGTCGGTTATTATTACTAGCATCATTACAGTGTCGATTTGGCGACAAGTCTCCGATTTGGAAGTGCGCTGTTGATCGGATATGTCACCTTCGGGTGATGAGATTGAAGATCACAGCCTCCAATGGTTAAGTCACGTATTCCACCGCGATCAACAGGAATAGCCACATTCGGAGGAGGGAAATGTGATAGAAGTGTATCCGATGATATCCTGCCGGGGATGATGGGTGTGGTACTTGTACATGCACTCGATACGGCGGCGATCATGCCTGATCTAGCTGGCCTCGATCATGTCCCGAACTGTACCTATCCACGCGTCACCATCCGCGGCAGGAGATACGGAGAGTTCAATCCATTCCCTTCGCCAACGACGGATACCAAATGCCGAAGGCCCAAGAACCACCTCCATGTCTTGACGAATTCTGTCGAGTCAGGTTCCGAGTTAACACCTTCCTAGACGCCTCGGATGGGGCAACGGTGCCGGATCGAGTGCAGTAACACTGAGCTCCTGAGGTGGACCACGAAGAACATGCTGGAACCCCCTCAGTCGCCTTTCTTGGATGGCCTGGGATATGTTCACTCTGTTATCACCGTAAGTACTAACTGTCTCATCTGAGGCGATGTCGGCGTACCTCACTCGAAGGAATGTCCTCAAGCGGCGGTGATCTCTCACAGTCGTCGGAGCAGTGAAATGTGGCCTGTTAACTAGTGTGATCATTCAAAGTATCGGTGATGTACGCAAAATTTTTGGTGAAACGACGATAATAATTCCCAGACCTAGGAAACTTTGGAGTTCAGAAACGGACGCAAGTTTTGGTCGACGTCAGATCTATTCAGTCTTCATAGCGTGTGACTCAAAACGATCCTTGTAGAAAATATTACCCAAGGTTGTCCCACTCATTCCGTCTTCCCTGACTTTTGATTGGGAATCTTTATCTTGTCGACCGCAACATCCGACAGGCCCTCCAATCTGCGAAGAACATGATTACAATTGGTGAAATGCGATTGACAAGCAGTCGGTTCTGATCAGTGAACTTCAGCAACCTCACGCCATTTTCACATCGAGATGCAAACACAAAGCGGCCAAGAAGATAACCGCTTCGGAAGTCCTCAGGTCCAGTCCGATCATTCCAATCCCCGGCAACAATCAGCAGATCGCGGAGAAGGAGTCTTTCAACTAACTCTTGCAACTGCGACGGAAACTCATCTTTATCGCACAGTTCGACAACTGAATTTAGTGCATACTCAGAGACAATGGAGATGTTCGTAAAGTGGTCCATCAGTCGCACGTAGGCCATTCGGTCATTGAATGGTTGCCAAGCAAGTAACGTGAGGTCGCTGTCGAAAGTAGTGTGGTCGACAAAATAAAGATTCCCAATCAAAAGTCTGGGAAGATGGTTGGTGTCGGACAACCTTTACTGTTTGGAAAGCGCGTACACAAGGCCCAGCAGGCAGTCCCCGCGAGCACACTCTCCATGCAGATTGTTGTCTGAGTCCGCCTTCGAGGTGCTGTGTCCCAACGCGTATATGCGCCCTCCGTTTTCTCCGCGTCCGCCAGCCAATCAGAGGGGGGACGGCGCTGATTGGCCTGGAGCACTCGCGAGGTTATTGACAAGTCCCGCGCCTCCCAAAGGCGTATCGACAAGGACCCTGAGGCGGACAGTAAAGCAGCGTGACAAAGGCGGAGGGCAAGGAGACGCGCGCTGCCACCTCCGCATGTTGTGAGGACGATCGCCACCAATGGTGTCGCGCGGGCCCCTGTGGTACAGGATGAGGTGTGGTTCTGTCGAAAGTTGTGTGGTCGACAAGACAAAGATTCCCAATCAAATGTCAGGGAAGACGGTTGGAGTTGAACGACCTTTACTGCTTGGAAAGCGTGTACACCAAGGCTGTGTGGGCAGTCGTCGCAAGCATACTCTCCAGACAAGTTGTTGTCTGTGTCCGCCTTCGAGGTGTTGTTAGCGCGTGTGTGCGCCCTTCGTTGTCTCCACGTCGCCAGCCAATCAGAGTAGGGACAGCGGTGATTGGCTTCGAGCACTCGCGCGGCCCAGCTAGGGGACCCACTGACGAGCCGAGCCCCTCGCAGCTGCGTCAGGCAGTGGCACACGATCGGCGAAACACGCGTGTCTGGGCTTTTAGCTAGTTCCTGTGTTGTTAGTACGGTAAATCACAATTCTATGCTACTGGCTGCCTGTTGGCGGTTTGTGAATATTACGCGGTTATTCCGCAGTGGCTGATGGATTTCAGCTCGAATACTCCTATCAAATTTCGGACCATGCGTGAAGAGGTCTGTACCGAAGGATTTAATCCGAGTTCGCTCATTATATTCCTCGGAAATTAAACAAGGCAAGTCCACTGTCCACTAATTCACGCGGCTGTCGTCGTTCTGATTTGGACCGTCCGAAGCTCTTGGTGCGGCGATCGGCTTTGGCCTACTGACTTCATGATAGTAACGAAATGGATACTGATTCGACACGGACGCACCTGCAATCCTACTACTACTACTACTACTACTACTACTACTACTACTACTACTACTACTACTACTACTACTACTACTACTACTACTCAACCTAGCCAGCCAATCAGAGTGGGGACAGCGTTGATTGGCTTCGAGCACTCGCGCGGCCCAGCAGCGTGTCGACATGGAGTGTGAGGCAGACAGGACGGCAGCATGACAAAGGCGGAGGGTGAGGAGACGCGAACTGCTACAGTACCCCCCGGCTAGACCGAAGGCGGAGCGTAGCGATGCCGAAGGAACTGTTGATATCTAAAAACCATGAGTGACCATACGGTCAGGAAAGTGAACATGGCGTCCGCTACGGGTGATATATACAGGGGGCACAGGATTAGAGTGAGTATGGCTCGCGGTTACAGTGTTGTTTGTTGATGAAGGAGTAGTTGCAGTTTGGAGTTGTGGACATGAGGGCAGAGGATGTATACGGGACGGTGGAATAGAGGGTCGGGGAGGCGGAGCAGGGGGTAGGGGACCACAGAGCTCATCCGGAGGAGTGTCCGGGACGGCAGCTTTGAGGCGGTCCACACTCACGACCTCCTCGCGAGTGCCGCGTTGGATGCGGAAGTTCTTCGTCCCACGAGAGATAACTCGGAAGGGGCCATCGTGGGGTGGTTCCAGGGGCCGGCGGACTCGATCACATCGGAGATAGACGTGAGAGCACGTTGCCAAATCCTTTTCGAGATAAGACGGAGAGGCGGAGGACCTGGGAGGCACCGGGGAAAGTGTCCGCATAAACTGCCGGAGGCGATGCAGGAGGTTGGTAGGATCCTCAACCGCACCTTGTGGGGTTGGCGAGATCATCTCACCGGGGAGTCGGACGGTGGCACCGAACACCAGTTCAGCTGCGGAACAATCAAGGTCCGGCTTCAGAGAGGAGCGGATGCCCAAGAGGACCAGGGGAAGCTGGTCCGTCCAGTTCTCCGGATCGGCCGCGGCGCGTAGGGAGGCCTTCAGCTGGCGGTAAATCCGCTTGACCGTCCCCTTGGCTGCCGGATGATAGGCAGTAGTGCGGATGCGAGTACAGCCTAAAAAGGAGAGTAAAGACTGGGAGAGGTGAGATTCAAATTGGGCACCACGGTCAGTCGTGATAATGGAGGGAGCACCGAAAATGGCAACCCAACGACTGAGGAAAACCTTGACGACCGTTGGAGTTGCGACATCAGGCAGTGGAATAGCTTCCGGCCTCCGGGTGAATCGATCCACACAGGTAAGGAGATAGGAGCAACCATTGGACAGAGGCAGGGGGCCTACAATGTCCAGGTGAACGTGGCTAAACCTTTCACCAGGGCCGAGGAAGGTGCCAATGGGGGTCTTGTTGTGCCGCTGGATCTTGCTCCACTAAAGGGCACTCCAACCTACGGACTGGCAAAGTGGCTGTTCCAACGTCTCAAGTTTCTGACCTCCGATTCGAACACGACAGTCAGCTCGTCAACGCAATTCTTGGAGAAACTTAAAGGAGTAAGTCTCCTGCCAAGCGATATCATGGTTTCCTTTGAAGTCAAGTCCCTTTTTACTTGTATCCCGCAGGACCTGGCAGTCGAGACAATCGAACTACTCCTACGAGAGAAGTACGACGAAACGGAGAATCGCCTCGGACACGCCCAAATCATCCAGCTCCTGAAGTTCTGTCTCAAGACGTACTTTACATTCGACGGCACAATCTACGAGCAGGTGAAGGGAACGCCAATGGGTTCGCCGATTTCGGGACTCATAGCCGAGGCGGTCCTACAACGGCTGGAGTCGCTGGTTTTCCGACACCACAGACCGAAATTCTGGGCTCGGTATGTGGATGACACCTTCGTCGTCATCGAACGGGATCAGGTGCTGACTTTCAAAGAACAACTCAACGCCGTCTTCCCGGACATTCAATTTACGATGGAGGAGGAGGAAAACAATCAGCTGGCATTCCTGGATGTCCTCGTCTGCCGTAAAGATTGTGGTGGCCTGAAAACCAAAGTGTTCAGGAAAGCGACAAATACGACGCAAATACTGAACTTCAATAGCAACCACCCGATCAGTCACAAACGCAGTTGCGTAAGGGCGCTATACCGGCGTGTTGAGACGCACTGCAGTGAAATGGAAGACAAGGTTGCTGAATTACAATATCTTCGACGGGTAATGAGGGCCAATGGTTACCCGCGCAACTTTGTCAACCAGTGCATACGAAAAGGACACCAGAGACCAAATCCAACTAGCCCCAAATTTTGGCGGGCTCTTCCGTACGTGAAGAACGTCTCGGAAGCCGTCAGTCGTCTTCTCACTCCACTTGGAGTTGGGGTTGCACACAGGCCGGAAGCAACCATTAGGCGCCAAGTAATGAGGCCAAAAGACCCGCTGCCACGGCAGGAAACGTCTGGAGTCGTTTACCGAATCTGGTGTAGTTGCGGACAAAACAATTATGTCGGAGAAACTGGGAGATTACTCCGTACGCGACTTGCCGAGCACGCAGCAGCAGTGAGGCGGGGAGACGCTAACTCTCAAGTGGCGGCACACTCGACGGGACCCGGCCATATTTTCAAATTTCAAGAGGCCGAAATCCCCGCAAGGGGTGACAACCGCGTGAGCCGCGAGCTGCTCGAGTCATGGTTCTCAGGCCCGCAATCCATCAACAAACACAATGACCTCCCGGTGCCCTATTCCGTATTGCGATTTTCCCTGGGCAGGAGAATCAGTCTCGTGGGGAGGGCGCGGGTGAGCAATTATCACGGTGACAGTGAGCCAGTTTGCCGAGCAATCGTCACACCAGCATCGAGCACGGATGACGAAATCGCGGCGATTAACAACTCGGACTCGGACCGCCAAGCCACCGCCGCATCAATTACGACCCCAGCGGCGATTGTGAGAACTGTTAATTGCAGTGCGCATACGGTCCCACGGCAGCCACGTGCTATAAATACTGCACTCCTGGTGCCACCTTCACCTCTATCTGCTAATGTCTCTGATGATGGATTCGAGTGAGAATCCGAAACCTCAGGCAAATAAACTTCTTGTCCCAGTGATCGCATCTTCATCTTCTGAACTGCTACCTGGGACTTGCCTGTTCGCTTCTATCAACGGTGCAAGTCTGTCGGCACAACAAACCCCTGCGCAATTCACCGTCCCTGCTCCCACTATCTGCTGTAGGGCATACAGTGGACATCGTCGGATGCGACGGTCGAACTATCATGTGTGCGTGTGTGTGCGTGCGTGTGTGTGTGACAGTCCAACCATTGATTTTGACAATTTTCGCTGTTTACTTCCGAGCAGGGTGAAATGGGACTTTTCAAATTACACGTGATTTATTTTATGACGATAGTAGTCTTGCGCAGCATCTATCCCAAACACATACTGGGCTGACTGGGCAGTCCGAGTTCTTCGGTGGATTGGCAACCTTTCAAACCACAACTTTTAACTCATCGTGATAGCTTTAAGAGCGTCAGATTGTTTATATCGACGAAGATGCGCTGAGACGTCAGCCTTACTCGCAACTTCCATTCCAAGGCTCCAGTCACTGCCCGAACTAGTCAGAAGTCTGATGCGAGGAATAAATGCGGTGACTAACAGAGTTGGACATCTCGTCCGCGCGTGCCACTAACATGACCAGTCCCCTCATATTCACACACCATTATTTCAAGTGTAGGTCAGTAAAAGTCTCGGGAATCGCATGCATCGGGGTAGGCACTAATCGAAAGAAACCAAAAAGCACACTTTGCTCTTAGGTGGCAAGCGCCGATTATTATGCGCGGATTACGAGGTGGCCGCACCAGTATAGTTTCAGTCGTCTCAGCATGTCATGGACCCTGAGGATGGCAGCCCCTTCTAGAACTTCTGAGTCCGGAATCCTGTTGCGCCGCCTCAGTTTTGTTATCCGGTGGATGTATCTGAAGCAGAAGCGATTGCGTTTGCGTGCATATTTCGCGTAATTGAGACGGCGTCCAGGCAAGTGTTACAACAGAATATCTAACCTTTCTGGTGCTCTATCTATTTCTGGTTTCCTGTTAGATTGCATCCGGGGCCTCACCCTGGAGATGACGAGGGGGTGATCCATCCAGCCATCGGCCTCACAGATAGTTTTGGTCACCAGCACAGCTTGTGGATCGTGCCGCCGAACGAGACCATAGTACAGCAGTTGCCATCGCCGGGATAGAGGGTGCATCCAGGTGCCAATATTCACATAGGATGCCGGCAGATTTTGGTCAGCAGGAGACGGTGCCCAGCGCAGGTCCGCAAGAGGAGGAGGAGTTTGGGGGGAGGCCATTGTGGTTGAAGCTGGCGATTCCATGAGATTCCCGCTCTCCTATCCAGGCATCCTACCCCGTCCTCACGTGTGCGTTAAGGCACTAAGAAGAACCGCTTTATCTGCGTTCGGCAAAAACGACAGGAGTGTGTGCGGGTCATCGTAGAATTTGTTGTCTGCTTCGTCAGATCTGGTCATTGGGGGGAAGGGGGCTTTGTTGAGTGGAGAGAGCCTCGAGGTAGCCCGGGCCACCTGTGAGATAAAATTTCGTCCTCTCTCTGGGATTTATGAATGTGGGGGAGGGAGAGGGATGTGTAGGCAAGTAGAGTTAACGGGTGTGGGGGCGCAGTCATCATAGGATATATCCACCTGATTTAGCCTTTCGGTGGGTTTGTGGCGGTTCGCGTCTCCTCGTCCTCCGCCTTTGTCACGCTGCCCTCCTGTCCGCCTCACACTCCGTGTCGAATCGCTGCTGGGACGCGCGAGTGCTCGAAGCCAATCAACGCTGTTCCCACTAGCGACGTGGAGACAACGAATGGCGCACACACACGCTCACACAACACCCCGAGGGCGGACACAGACAACAGCTTGCTTGGAGCGCGCTCGGGGCGACTGCCTTCAGAGCCCTTGTGTACGCTTTTCCTCAGGCAGTAAAGGTGGTCCAACTCAAACCGTCTTCCCTGACTTTTGATTGGGAATCTTTATCGTGTCGAGCACACTACATTCCACAGGTTGATTGCACGGCTGTAAACCATAGGCAGATCCCAGCTATGAGCAGCAACATATGGGGGAAGAGTGCCACTTGAGGACCGCGAGGAGCACTCACCATAACCATGATTTGACCTACCAGTCCTACAGACCATAAACCCATCTGCCGTCTCTGTAAATGCATCCAAAGTCACATCTACAACATAAACCAACGAGAAGCGGACCACCGACGCCATCACCGTCATGGCAGACGAGCACACACCCGATGACACACCGCTGCGCCATTGACCATTCCCAGCCTCGAAAGCGTAATCCCCGTGACAACCACCAGCACTACCACCACTCCTATCCCCACCATCAGTGAGTACCCCCTGGCCCCCCACCCGCCCCCCCCCTCTCCCGGCATGACTGATTGCTCCCTGCACGTTGCACTCCAAATCACGCCGCACCAGTTCTCTTATACTTGGATGTCTTCTCTCCCCCTAACCCCCCTCACCATATGCACCCGCATATTAGACCCATGTTTCAGGTTACCTATCACGTTTTAGCTTTCTAGGTCGATCGTCGATTGAACAGTTTTGCCTTGTAATATAACTATGCAATGACCATGCGCAGCTGAATGAGAGGTCTCGAAATTTATGACGTCATTAAATTCTGCCTGCTTTGTCGCCTTCGCCTTGTTCAAATTTATCCCGGGAAAACACTGCTTCAATCTGCTTCAATAATAGTAATAATCATCATCATCGTATCCGTAGCACAAATGTCTCCACCACCAGCAATTCGAACTCAATTCCAACCTGTCCTCATTGCGGTCGTATATTCACACCACGCATCGACCTGTCAAAGAAATCTCACTGAAGAAGGAGACACAATCGCCGGGACAAGAGCTTTATTAGCCTGACGTTTCGGATTCCTACTGGAATCCATCATCAGAGACAAAAAAGCAGAAACGGGTCTCACTGAATTTGACGAATTAACCTCCGGAGTCTCGTAATGCACACTCAGCTTACGCAGAAACTACCCACTCTGCCCGCCCTCACCTCAGGAAGGTCAGCCAGCGTTCAATGAGTGCCTATTTATGTGGCCTCTACAGCATCACCATATAGACGAGATCGGAGCCGCACGTCTCCTCTATATGTGAACGTCCGTCTCGTTCGTCCTTCAAATGTGGCGTGCGTGTGGTCTATATAGTCTCGTCAAATGCAGTACACTTACACGTTCTCGCTACAATCGGCACTAGTATGTCTTTGTTCTCAGTTGAGTGAGGCAGGAGTGAGTTTAATGGTGCAACACAAGTCCACTGTCCACTAATTCACGCGGGTGCCGTCGTTCTGATTTGGACCGTCCGAAGCTCTTGGTGCGGCGATCGGCTTTGGCCTACTGAATTCATGATATTAACAAAATGGATACTGATTCGACACGGACGTACCTGCAATACTACTACTACTACTACTACTACTACTACTACTACTACTACTACTACTACTACTACTACTACTACTACTACTACTACTACTACTTCTGCTAATATTACTACTACTCCTAGTAATAATAATAAAATTATTAGTGGTGGTGTTGGTCAACTGTCAGATTAAATTACATAGAATCCCTGCTGCCATTATATCAAAACCACATAACGGGAACTACTTATTTATTCATCTTTTATTTCGAAACGCTACAGAAGTCATTAGTAAGCGCTGACTGCGCGAACCAGTGCTTTCGGCAATTAACCGAACTTGCTTCCTCTATGACCGACTCGCATGCTACTGCCCGATAATACGTGCCGAAAGCTCTTGCCACACTAGCAAACACTCATCTGCCATCCTACCCACCCTACCCGTCAAGACATATTCGGTCTCATTTGCCACCATAGAATGTTATAAGCGAAGGGGATTTGTCGGATGTTGTGTGGTCGACAAGATAAAGATTCCCAATCAAAAGTCAGGGAAGACGGAATTAGTGGGACAACCTTTACTGCTTGGAAAGCGTGTACACCAAGGCTGTGTGGGCAGTCGCCGCAAGCGTGCTCTCCAGACAAGTTGTTGTCTGTGTCCGCCTTCGAGGTGTTGTTAGAGCGTGTGTGCGCCCTTCGTTGTCTCCGCGTCCGTCAGCCAATCAGAGTGGGGACAGCGTTGATTGGCTTCGAGCACTCGCGCATCCCAGTAGCGCATCGACACGGATTGTGAGGCGGACAGGAGGGCAGCGTGACAAAGGCGGAGGGCGAGGAGACGCGAACTGTCACAGATTACTTGCCTGAACCATCGCAGAGTGTGCGTCACGCAAGCTTCACTTGCCCGACCCATCCCTATGCAGATACAACCGTTGACCTCATCTTTCTGCTTGGAGTCTAAGATCCCACACAACACACAAATGCGGACTAGTCAAATTCTTCAAGACGAATGATTGAGAGTACAAGTTAGGCAACAGGGTTTTTTTATGTGAAATGAAACGAACATAGTAAGAAGAAAACATGCTGATCAAAATACGAAAGTGGGGGCCAAAGATAATCCGGAGAACAAAAAAGAAGTAAATTATGGCGGTGGGGAAGGGCCGGAAGAAGTGCGAGATAACAATGTAGGTTAGCGCGGGCTGCTGCCATGGGGTGAGTAAAGCGATCGGATGAAGTCCGGCCGTTGATATCTAGAGAAGAGAGAGGTATTCAGTTAGTCAGGGTTAGGGAGGCGTGAGACTACAAATTGCTCAGAATCAATAAGTACAGAGTATGCCACGAATTGCAATGAAGAAAGTGTAGTGCTGAGAATTCCAAGCAAGTCAACAGCAAAAGCATCATTAATTCAAGCATGCATTACATTAAGTGCGAAGGGCTACGCCATTGATTGATCGTGAGACACCCTAGGACGATGCAACAGGAAGACGTTTAGGGACAGGATTAAGCGGTTCATAGAATATAAAATGCCCTAACTTGGCAACATAATCATCCGTCCTGAGGACTTACGGGGAAATCAGGCGACTCATCTTGCTGTGACACCTGGCCACCGAATACGGGCTCCGGCGTGTCCGATTGCTGGCAGGCTGGAAAGAATGAAAGGAAGTCGCCTCACATTTGCCCACCTTGACCTGCATTGGGAAGATGTGATATCGAAGGCTCCAAGTAAGGTGAAAAAAGACTGACGATATTCGGACATCGACATGAATGCATGTCGTCCTAACGACTCTGTGGAATCAACGCAATCGCTACTTGCTACCTGGCGTATATGGCCGAGATCATGCGGCTATTCGAATAGGCAGACACATTGTGAAAGTACGACAGCGTCCACATCGTTTGGGACACTTTGCATGACTTCAAGCTTGGGCGCCAACAAAACACTGCAAGTGTCTACTAGACCTTTTTCCAGCTAGCCTCGATTTTACTATAGTGTTCAGACTGAGAGACGAGAGCCTGGAAACAATCCAACACAAAACATTATCTTAATCAGACTCAAATTCCAGACCAACGTGCATTTAGTGGTGGGAAAACGATGGAAGGATGCAGAAATTGCCGCTGGAAGACAGCAGAGACGAGCGCTTCTTGCCCCACCTGGCCAACCGTCCAAATAATTGTCTCACTTTCTGCGTACCGCGACTTGATTGCTTCAGCAGGGCAGTCGACGTAGTGTACACCATTTTCAGTCAGTGAATTCTGACGAGCAAGCCATTTAGCCACGTTCAACCGCCCCAAAATAGGTGTGAGTTGCAACTTGCCTCTTCACGATGAATCGAATCCATTGCTATTGCTTCAGTGACCCCATTGATCTCACAAATATTATTCATAGCAATCGGCTCAGATCAAATTCGGCGAGCAGTATCTTTGACTTCGAGAACAGTGAACAGTCTCACCGTTCTAAAATGCAGTCTTATAACAGTACCTCTGGAGCACAAACTTCTAAATAAGCCATACGAGGTTTCACGTAATCTTTTTTTTCAAAAATTAAGACAGTCGATT